CAATGAGACGCTATTAGAGGATTTTTCCCTCCCGTCTGTCCTGTACCGCTGTTCACAAAGGCCCCGATCAACCTGCTCGGATCGATACGGTTTCCAGCAGCAACCCCCGTTTTGTTCCCTGGATGTGTTGTTGATATCACCTATGCACACACACACTCACACTCACACTCTCGTGCGCACACAGACACAATCACACTAATCCGAGGACATTAGCCGTGGAGAGAGTCCATTTCAGGCAGGTAATGGGCAGATTTGGCTATCACAGGATGTCGTAAAGGTTGCGCTGAAGAGCGAGATAATGTGTTTTTTTTTTAAGGCTGGGCTCTCTGGGATCTGTCAGCTGCTCTCCAAGCCAAAGTGCTTGAGCAACTTTCCCATAAACACCTCTCTTGTTTTAGTCGGCGGTAAAACACACAAACACACACGTGCTAAAGTTTAAGAGAGCCCAAGTTTGATTTTACGGCCCATTGTTTGCACAGAAAATCCTCTTGTTTGACAAGCTCGCCGGTGACTCACGTCTGTTGATGTTGGTTGCGGCGGACGCTGTTTTGATAACGGATTGAGACGGGAGGAGAGAGAGAGAAAGGGAAAAATTTAATGAAAGGAGGGAGCTGAAATACTCCCACGCAAGGAGTGATGTTGTCTCAGTCCACTTAACCTCGCTCTCCGTGCCTTCTATATTTAATCGCCCTTTTTGGCTTCCCGGCAGTCCGTGTGTGACCCTAGTGGAAGACCTGAGTAACACAGAGAGCAGAGGAAGTGTTTCTCAGTCTCTCCACAGCTGGAAGGACACATTTCTGTCTCCAGACATTTCTCAAAATCTGTAAGGAATATGCACAGGTCACATTTCACCCCACATGTAAAATATACATAAAATATTTTAGTCACACTGTCATGACAATTCAAGCACATTTGATCTTATAAATATGACTATATGTACTGTTTACTGTTAGTTATATATACTGAACAAAATTATAAACGCAACACTTTTGTTTTTGCCCCCATTTTTCATGAGCTGAACTCATATATACTGTATCATTAGTAATAAGAAAAATACTCTGTATTTAATTCGATATAATATTTCATTGTAATTTTTTTTTTTTTTTCCCCATAACGAAAATCTTTTGATTTTGGGGTAAAATGTGACCTGAACATGCTTTTGCAAGACTCACCTACACAAACAACAAGTGAATCTGAGAAAGCACTGCTATTTTCCCACAAGGGTCACTAGCAGGCCCCCTGCCGTGGGTCGTGAGGTCGTGACCTGCCGCTGCGGGAGGCACTCTCCTCCTCATCCACATGCAGCTCTCATTAATACTTCACCACGCTCATAACTACTGACCTGTGCCGCTGTTCACGCTGATGAAGCGATGAGCCAGCCCGTTTCCGACAGTTAAAGCTAAACCCAGCAGCCATTCTTTTTCCAAATATGCACATCGGCGTACAGTTTCTGTGTTTACATAGTTTTACAACTCGAACGTTTCGCGGAAGCTCTCGATCCGAGCATCTCTTACGCAGTTTTTTGGCATCTGACAGCGGCTAGCTCTGAGATATGTAGCGTGACGCTGCGCATACATCCTCCACATGTTCTCCTTTCGGTGACTCACGGCAGATGAAGGATGTCAGAGAAGTCCTGGAAAGCTTTTTTTTTTTTTGGTCACACTCTGACTCCCTGTGTGTTTGAGTTTGTCATTCCAGCCGTGCTCTTACTTTGCCCTGAGCGCAGCGGCTAATTACCGCACCTCACTGAAGGCTTATTTAGTCAGAGGGAGCAACACTGCTGGGATATGAACTCACCTGAATGCCACTCGCCAATCTCTGTGATGCTTTCTTTCATTCTAAAGAAACAGTTCGCCCAAAAATGAAAATCTGCTGAAAATTTACTCGCCCGCAGGTCATGCAAGATGTCGATGAGTTTGTTTCTTCATCAGATTTGGAGAAATGTAGCATTCCTTCACTTGCTCAGCAATGGGTCCTCTGCAGTGAATGGGTGCCGTCAGAATGAGAGTCCAAACATCTGATAAAAACATCACAATAATCCACAAGTAATCCACACCACTCCAGTCCAGCAATTAATATCTTGAGAAGACAAAAGCTGTGTGTTTGTAAGAAACAAATGCATAAAGACATTTTTTAACTAAAAATAAGTCCATAATCCATAATATTGCTTTCTCCAGTGAAAAAGTCATCTCATCTGAATCAGGAGAGAAACCTGCACGGATCCAGCACTGTTTCCAAGTCAAAACAGTCCAAAATAGTTATAAACATATGTGGCTGGATTTTGATGTGAGAGACAACAGGAGATGGACTTTTTCACTGGAGGAGCGTTATTATGGATTATGGATTATTGTGATGTTTTTATCAGCTGTTTGGACTCTCATTCTGACGGCACCCATTCACTGCAGAGGATCCATTGGTGAGCAAGAGATGTAATGCTACATTTCTCCAAATCTGATGAAGAAACAAACTCATCTACATCTTGGATGGCCTTAGGGTGAGGACATTATCAGCAAATTTTCATTTTTGGATGAACTATTCCTTTAAATGCAAATGAATTGCACACTAATAGTCTGATTATTACCAATAATTTCTCATGGTTATTTATAACATATTATAAAATATAAATTCAAATGCAATGTTTTCTACTGCTGTTATCATTGACCTGCCTCAAATTCAGAACCTGCTTCAAGTGCAAAAAAAAAAAAGCAAAATTATCCCTGAGCTCACTAGAAAAATCATTTTCTGTTCATTCAATGTTTTCAAACCCATGCATTTGCATAATGCATCATCTGTCTATAGCACAGACATGTGCGTTTTCATCAGTGGACATTAAAAGTGTATACAGAAAACTGCAATACGCAACATATTTTACCGTGATTATGATTGCTGCATAATCATAATAACATAATCACAAAATTCTGTTTACATGAGCTGCAAATTAATCTCAGTACTGCTTAAATCGCATTATGAATGTAGTCATTATGTGTTTAAGCATATTTGTCTGCAACTGCAATATTTTTCCGATGCTGTTATGGGTTTCATAGAATGATAAACGTAACTAGATGTTTCAGGACTTTAGATATGAATACTGTATGCCAAACACACCAGTGTGGTCTTGATAGGCCGCAATCAGTGTAATTTTGCTGTAGCTACAAGCCCAAAATGACCACATAAGTTTAATCATTCAAATCATTCAGATTGGAAATGCAAAAGTACTTATTTGTATTCATTTTCTTTGATGTGACACCAGTAATTTTCCTTTTTTTAGCATGCGCCGAGGTTTGAATTATTAGTCTCATCTAGCCTCCATGATCTGTTTTAATGCAGCTCAATCTAATATTTCTTTTATGTAATCCAAGCGAGGGATTTTGCATTATTCAGCAAGGGTATTTCCTTTGCAAGGGTCTGTGACAGAGAAAATCCAATACAGTAATATCAGACGGAGCAATTAATACATGTGTTTGTGTTTAATACACAAACAGAGAGCGAGTAGAAACCCGACCCGCTGACGCGACCTCGTTGTCATAGCAACCACTCATCCGTCAGCCTCACGTGCGCCACGCTGTCAACGGCACATGAGCTGACAATGAATCAAGGAGTTTCTGATGGAGGGAAAAAATGTAAACAAACACTTGTCTACGGTCAGTATCTTGCATCTCTGTTTCCTGTTTGGGTCATGCACGTCTTGTACAAGGTTTATGAGATTTCACAGAAGATGCTGATGAGGACAGAGCAGATTATCTCCATTCAGGCTGTTTTTTAACTATTTTTAACTATTTTAACTTATAAAAACAATGTTACAAATTTATTGTGAAAAATATGAAGAAAAAAAACTATGAACAAAAATGAAAAGCCAATACTGGTGTATATCTTGTGGTGTTTGCTTGCAATGCACTGATTTTTTTTTTATTATTATTTGTTTTTTTATTTAAAAAAAAAAATTTGTTTTATTTTTTATTTTATTATTATACTTTGTACTTATTATACTATAGTATTTTTTATTATGTATGTGTGTGTTATTTTTAAATGTATATTAACGAATCATATTACCGTATTGACCCGAATATAAGACAATGTTTTTTTCTTGGAAATACATCTGAAAAAACGCGGTCGT